AAATGCAAATAAAAATCCATAATTCTACAATAATAGTTGGATTCTTCTATAACTCACTTTTGTTAAGGGACACAACAACTAGATGGAAGGTAAGTAAGGAAACAGACAAACTACACAATAAACCAAATGGATTTAACAGATATCTAAATAACATTCTACCCAACAACAACCACATACAAATTTTTCTCAGGTGTACATGGAGCATTTTCCCAGATGGACCATATGTTAGACTAAATATTGTATCTCAACAGATATAAAAAGAAAAATATAAAAAGTACCTTTTCGAAATGAAGAAATCATTAACAGAAAACTGGAAAATGCACACATTTGTGTAAATTAACACACTTTAAAACAACCAATAGATCAAAGTAGAAATCACAAGAAAAATTAGAAAACAGTTAAAAATGAATGAAAATGAAAACAAAACACACCAAAATTTGTAAGATGCAGTGAAGGCAGTGCTAAGGGGGGAGTTTATAGTTATAAACGCCTAACATTTAAAAAACAAAAAACAAAAAAGATCTCAAATTAACAACCTAATTTTACAAATTAAGAAACTAGAAAAAGAAGAACAATCTAAACCAAAAGCTAGCAGACAAGAGGAAATAATAAAGATTAGAGTAGAGCTAAAACAAATATGAGGATAGAAAAACTAGAAAAATTATTGAAACTAAAAGTTGGTTCTTTGAAAGCATCAACAAAATCAAACCTTTAGCTAGGTGAACTAAGAAAACAAAGAAAAAAGACTAAAAATACTAAAATCAGAAATAAAGCTGGGGATGCTATTGCTGAATGTAAAGAAATAAAACGGATGACAAGAGAGTATTATTAATAATAGTACACCAACAAAATAAATAACCTAGATTACATGAACAAATTCCTAGAAACACAACACAACAAGACTAAATCTCAAAGAAATAGAAAATTTGGGTTGGGTGTGGTGGCTTACGCCTGTAATGCCAGCACTTAGGGAGGCCGAGGCAGGTGGAACACCTGAGGTGAGGAGTTTGAGACCAGCCTGGATAACATGGTGAAACTCTGTCTCTACTAAAAATACAAGAATTAGCTGGATGTGGTGGCGGGTGCCTGAAATCCCAGCTACTCAGGGGGCTGAGGCAGGAGAATCTCTTGAACCCAGGAGGCAGAGGTTGCAGTGAGCTGAGATCGCACCATGGCATTCCAGCCTGGGCAACAAGAGCGGAAACTCCATCTCAAAAGAAAAGAAAATTTGAATAGGCCTATATAACTAGTAAGGAAATTAAATTAGTAATAAAAAATCTCTTGACAAAGTAAAGCCCTGAATCTGATGACTTCAATGCTGAATTCTACTAAATTTTTAAAGAAGACGAAATAGCAATCCTTCTCAAACTTTTCCAAAAAATCAAAGAGAAAGGAACACTTCTTAATTCATTCTGTGGGGACACCATTATCCTAATGCCAAAGCCAGGCAAAGACACCACAAGAAAATAAACTACAGATCAATATCCCTTGTACAGACTGATACAGAAGTGACCAACCAAAAATTATGAAGCCAAATTCATCACATATTAACAGGATAACAATCCATGACCGAGTGAGATTTATTCCAAGTGAGATTTATTCTTAGAATGAAAGGATGGTTCAGTATTTTAACTAATCAATGTAATATACAACATTAACAGAATGAAGGAGAAAGAAAACCCTATCATCATTTTAATTGATGAAGAAAAGGCATTTGAAAAAATCGTACATCTTTTCATGATAAAAACAGTCAGCAAGGTAGGAATAGAAGAAAACTACCTAAACATAATAAAAGCCACATATGAAAACCCCCAGAATATCATACTCAAGGGCTAAAGACTGAACCATTTCTCCTCTAAGATCAGGAACAAGGCAAAAATGCTCACTTTCACCACTTCTATACAACATAGTATTGGAAGTTCTAGACAAAGCAATTAAGCAAGAAAAAGAAATAAATGGCATCCAAATTGTAAAAGAAGAAGTTAAATTATTTGTTTTAAGATGATATAATCTTATATGTAGAAGACACTAAAAATTCCTTCAAAAATATGTTCGAATTAATAAATTAATTCAGCAAAGTAGCCAGATCACACAGAAGTCAGATGCATTTCTATATACTAACAATGAACAATCTGCAAAGAAAGTCACAAAAACAATTATATTTACAAGAGAATCAAAAAGAATAAAACACTTCAGAATATAATAAATAACCAAGGAGTTGATAGACTTATACAAACTACAAAACATTGCTGAAAGAAATTAAAGAAGATATAAATAAATGGAAACACAACCCACATTCATGGATTGAAAGACTTAATGTTGTTAAGATGTCAAAACTACTCAAAGCAATCTAGAGTTTCAGTGCATCCCTATCTAAATCTCCACAACTCTTTTTATAGACAGAAAAAACTTATCCTAAAGGTCATACAAAATCTCATGAGACCTCAAAGCCAACACAACATCAAAAACAAAAAACAAACAAAAAAAACAAATCTAGAGTTGGGCTCGGTGGCTCACGCCTATAATCCCAGCACTTTGGGAGGCTGAGGCAGGCAGATCACTTTGAGGCCAGGAGTTCAAGACTAGCCTGGCCAACATGGCGAAATCCCGTCTCTACTAAAAACACAAAAATTAGCTGGGTATGGTGGCGCATGCCTGTAATCCCAGCTACTCAGGAGGCTGAGGCATGAGAATCACTTGAGCCTGGAAGGTGGAGGTTGCAGTGAGCTGATGTCATGCCATTGCACTCTAGCCTTGGCAACATACCGAGACTCTATCTCAAAAATATATATAAACAAATAACAAATCTGGAAGACTCACATGTCCTGATTTCAAAAATTACTACAAAACTATAGAAATCAAAAGAATGTGATACTGGCCAGGCATGGTGGCTCATGCCTATAATGCTAGCACTTTAGGAGGCTGAGGTGAGAGGATGGCTTGAACCCAGGAGTTCAAGACCAGCCTGGTCTTGAATATAGGGAAACTATGTCTCTATTTTTTAAAAAAAGAAGAAAAGAAATTAAAAACCAAAAACAAAAAAACCCATGTGGTACTGGCATAAAGACAGACCTATATCCCAATGGGATAGAATAGACAACCCGGAAATAAATCTTAACATATATGGTCAAATGTTTTTTGACAAAGGTTCCAATCCAAGGCCATTCAATGGAAAAACAGTCTTTTCAACCAGGTAAACCTGAATATCTGAATGAAAACAAATGAAACTGGACCCTTACCTAACACCATACACAAAAATTAACACAAAACGGATCAAAGGCCTCAATGTAAAACCTAAAACTATAAAACCCTAAGAAGAAATATAGGGTAAGTGCTTCATGACATTAGATTTAGCAATGATTTCTTAGATATGACATCAAAGGCACAGGTAATAAAAGAAAAAGTAGACAAATGGGACTTCAGAAAAATTTTGAAAATTTGGGCAGGAAAAGATAATATTAACAGAGTAAAAACGCAATGAACAAGGCTGAGCACAGGAGCTCACATTTGCTATACCAGCACTTTTTGAGAGGCCGAGGTTCGGGGATCATTTGAATCTAGAGTTCAAGACCAGCCTGGGCAACAGAGGGAGATCCCATCTCTACAAAAAATCAAAAACTTAGCCAGTCATGGTGGCACGAGCCTCTAGTCTCAGCTACTTGGGAGTCTGAGGTGGAAGGATTGCTTGAGCCCAGGAGGTCAAGGCTGCAGTGAGCAGTGATCACATTACTGTACTCTATCCTGGGTGACAGAACAAGACTCTGCCTCAAAAAAAAAAAAAAAAAAAAAAGCAACACACAGAATAGGAAAAATATTTATAAATCATATATCTGATAAGAAATTAATATCCACAATACATATAGAATTAAAACGCAACAAGAAAATAAACAAGCAAGCAACCCCTTTCAAAAATGGGCAAAAGACTTGAATAAGTACTTCTCCAAAGAAGATATCCAAAAGCCAAGCCAGTAACACATGAAATGATGTTCAACATCACTAATCATTAGGCAAATGCAAATCAAAAGTAAAATGAGATACCATCTCACACTCATTAGGATGGTTACTATAAAATAAACAGAAAATAAATGTTAGCAAGAATCTGGAGAAATTTGAACCTTGTGTACTGCTGGTGGAAATGTTAACTGGTATAGCCACTGTGAAAAACAGTATGGTAGATTCACAAAAAAATTAAAAATAGAGTTACCATATGATCCAGCAATTCCACCCCAAAGAATTGAAAACAGCGTCTCAAAGAGATATTTTAATATCCATGTTCACAGCATACTCACAATAGCTAAAAACTGGAAGCAACCCAAGTGTCCATCAACGGATGACTGAATAAGCAAAATGTGGTATATACATACAATAAATTATTAGTCTTATAAAGGAAAGAAATTCTAATATATGCTACAATATTTATGAAACTTGAGAACATTATGCTAGTGAAATAAGCTAGCCACAAAAAGACAAAAACTATTACGATTCTGCTTATATGAGGTACTTAAAATAGTCAAAATCATAAGAGACAAACAGACATAGTTGCCAGGGGTTGAGGAGAGAGGAAAGTGGGTAGTTATTATTTAATGGGTATAGAGCTTCAGTTCTAAAAGGTAAAAAGAGTTATGGAGATGGATAGTGACACATGAATAACATTACGAATGTATTTAATAACACAACTATACACTCAAAAATGGTTAAGATGGTAAGGTTTTTGTTATATGTATTTTATGATTTAGAAATTTGAAAACAAGTTTATCACTTACATTAACTGCAATACAATAAGGAAGTTCTGAATTGCTCAAAAAGTATGATAAAATGATCTTAAATACAAAAAGCCATTACAAAGATAGCTTCAATTTATAATAACTAATATACCAAACATTTTGACATAAACTGGCTACATTCTTATAAAACCTTGTAACAATTATTTTTGTGATGAAATGAGAAGGAATAAAAACATTAACAATTTTTAACAAAAGTAGAACACAGACAGACAATACCTTGGAGGCACGAATTTGCCTGTGGATGTCTGTTAGTTGTTGGATTTTGCATTCTAGGTCTGAAATCTGGGCTTGAAGCCAAGTCCATCGGCTGCCAACTCGTGCTCTGTCTACAAGCCACTTCCATTCAGTACTACAGTTACTGTGAACAAAACAAACGCTGTTACTCAAAGTACAAAAGCAATCAAGTTTCACAGACACTGCTTAATAATTCCTTAACTCCCATAACAAAAGCAAATTTCCTTTCTACAACATGTAATTACAGGAAGAGAGAATGGCAGATTGACTTCTTATCAAAGAAAAAGATTTAATTTTCTTACCTTTCCACCCCACAAATACCTGTTTTCATTAAATATTACATACCCTGTAGTAGGATAATTCCTCTGCTACTCAATTCTTTATCAATGCAGAAGGTCTTAAACAGGGATAAATCAGCAAAGAAAAGGAAACGTGAATGACAATGCAAACACCATGTAAAAACTGTTACATAAAACTTATATGTAAGTAGATGTCAAGTACCAGACAATCCATTTGAATGGTGCTAAATCTAAGTCCATGTAATAAACTGCAGCATATTCAATTTTACTATAAGTAATTTTTATTTGCTAAAATAGGCATCATTATTAGCTAATTACTTAAATCATTTTTTTAAAACAATCAAAAATTATAAAAAATATAAATGCTCTGCTACATTTCAAATAAGCATACCAAATATATAGACCTTAAAATATTTGTTAAGATAAACAGTTCATTAAAAATCTGATTCCTAGGATTCACAACCTAGAGATCACAAAGAATTTATATAAAGCCTTTTCTCATGCATATTTAAAAATAAGGGTTGATTCCTAGCTCCTCCTAGTACCTCTGTCATTTGGCAAGAGCACTACAGCTAGAGAAAAATTATTGGGGATTATGGGTGGTATATGTGTGTGATATTTAATTAGGAGATGCAGATTGCCAAAAAAAAAAAAAAAAAAAAACCTGACAGAAACTGAAGATATAACTGTAGGGCAACAATGACTTAATGACAACATATAAACTTTATAAAAAACTTATCTAATAATTCATTTATTGTCAAAACCCACTGACTGTAGAACACCAAGAGTGAAGACTAATGTAAATAATGACCTCTGAGTGACAATGACGTGTTAATGTAGGTTCATCAATTGTAACAAATACACCACCCTGGTGTGGAATATTAAGAGTGGGAAAGGTTGTGCGTTTGTAGTATGTGGGAACAGGGAATATGTGGGAACTCTTTGTATTTCCCACTCAGTTTTGCTGTGAACCTAAAACTGCTCTAAAAAATAGTTTATTAATTTTTTAAAATGCACTGGACCATAATGGAATATCTTTCAAATAATCTTTAATTGGAGAAAATATTTATTCTAAGAGATCATTTGCTGTCAGATAAACAGAACACAATTATTATGGCTTTGCTATATAGAATTCATTCACTATAACAGGATCTTACATTATATCAATGTTTCTGAAAGGCTGCTGTTTTTAAGGATTCTAATTGCATACAATGTGATTAAAGACACCATATGATTGACGATTTCTCTTGGTATTATTATTTATTGTTTATAGTCATTACTGTGGTTTCATAAATTTGACACTTAAAAATCACATTTTCATAACTGTGGACAAAATAAAATGCCTATTCAAAATACACTATTCATAGATAACAGTTAGCAACACTAAATGCCAATCATGAAATTAGAGAAGGCAAGTGCCCTAGCACGTAGTATTTTGCACAGGTGAGGATAAAATGTTTGGATTTTAAAACAAAGTGGAAACTACTGGCAAGGTGGTAACAATCTTTTTTTTTTTTCCCAAGAACTTTGGCTACTAGGTGGAGAAAGCACTGTAGTAGGAAATGAAAGAAAGTAAGGAAAACAACTAAGATGTTACCTATAATAATCTGAGTGTGGTACAGATCATTGTGATCTCCAAATATTTCACGTGCCACCCTACACTTCCCAGGCTTATGCATTTACGTTGGAGCCATTTGACTAGTTCTGACCAAATGGGCTGTAAGCAAAAGTGACATTGTCATTTCCAGTTCACCTGAGGATCTTCAAAACCACGAGTGCAGATAATATAGCTACAAAATGGAGGAGGAGAATAGCCTAGATCACACTGGACTTTATGTAAGCCGCAGTACACCTCTGCTGTGTGAAACCACTGAGATTAGGATGCTAATTTGTAACACTAAATATAGCCTATTCTGACTAAAACACTGAATATAAAAATGGCTTTGGGAAGGGGAGGGGAGACAAAGATATGTAGATAAAAGGACGGATTCAAGGTTCATTTTAAAGTTGATAGGACTTGCAGAAGTATGGCTTAGAAGTAAGCATAGGGCAATCAAAGATGATCTTAAACATTAAGTATTGCTCCAGTAGGAAAACTGCCCTATAATATGCAATTTGGTTTGGCTATAATATTGATGATTAGTGAATAATGAAATATAACAGAAAAAAATGTCATAGAACTCATATTATTGTACTTCTGGTAAAGATATTCTAATACTCAAGTTAGGATTACAAAAATCATTGTTATGTTCATATACTACACTAAATTATACTCATATAGAAAAATAGCAATACCAGATTAAATTTAAGTAAACCAAATCACATCGGACGCTTTGTGATATATGAAATAAATTTTCTTTTTTTTTTGAGACAGAGTTTTGGTCTGTCGCCCAGGCTGGAGTGTAGTGGTGCGATCTCTCCTCACTGCAACCTCCACCTCCCAGGTTCAAGTGATTCTTGTGCCTCAGCCTCCTGAGTAGCTGAGATTACAGGCATGTACCACCACACCCAGCTAATTGTTTGTATTTTTAGTAGGCACAGGGTTTCACTACATTGGCTAAGCTGGGCTTCAACTCCTGTCCTCAAGTGCTCTACCTGCCTTGGCCCCCAAAGTGCTTGGATTACAGGCATGAGCCAGCAAGTCCGGCCTGAAATAAATTTTCTGTAGAGGGTAACTTATCCTACATTTTAATAGGAGGAATAAAACATGTTTGCTATGCTTATAAGTGGTAAACAAAAATGTTTCCTTCCTAGAAAACATGTTTTTCTAAAAAAAGTAAGATTGTTAATAATTAAGATGTTACAGATAAATATATGGCTAACTTGCTCAAACAAGATCAACATGTTATACCCCAAAGTCAAACATTTTATGTAAACAACTTATATAACCAATGTTAATGGTTTACATAACTTACAGTGTAACCAATTAGCATATAACTAATGCACCAGCATATTCAGAGTGTCCCAACTCCCCAGTTAGCATATAAGCCTGGTCTGCCATTGACTCCCTGAATCTTTCTAGAGTATGCAAAACTGATCACAGACCACCACATGCTGACCATAATGTGGGGTCCCTATCTCTAGTAAAGATCAAAGACATTGGTGAGTGGAGACCAACTGGTCAGTGAGAGATCACTCATTCCCCAGAAAGGTAGCATTATGACTTCAATTCCCATCCTTGCTTGCTTTCAGCCACCACTTAAGCTTGCTAAGAGAAATAAGTACAAGCTATTTAAACCTAAGTGGTTTTGAATGTAATTTCTCTTGGTACTAACTACTTGTCGACATCACAAACTTACATCTTTGTTTTGACCTCCTGGTATGAACTCATTCGGTCATGATGCATTTTTACAGTTTGCTAGACCCTATTTGCTACTTCATTTAGGATTTCTCTTTGCATCTATAGTCAAAGAAGATATGGATCTGCTGTTTTCTTGTCATATTTGGTTTTGGAATCAAGCTAATGCTACCCTCATAAAATGAGAAGTATTCCTTCCTCCTTGATTTTCTGAAGGAGTTTATGTAGGACTGGAATGATTTATTCCTTGAGTTTCAATAAAATTAATCAGTGAAGCCATCTGGGTCACAAGTTTTCTATGTGAGAAAGTTTATAATTATTAATTTTTCTTTTTAACGTAAGGTTTTTCAGGTTTTCTATTTCTCATTGTGTCAGTTTGGTCATTTGTGTCTTTTAAGCGATTAGCCTATGTAGCTTAAATTGTTGAATTTATTGGCATGTAGTTGTTCATTATACAGTGATCCCTTAGTATCCATGGAGGATTGGTTCCACGATCCTCTGAGGATACCAAAATCTGTGGAAATGGTCAAGTCCCTTATATAAAATGATGTACATGTGCATATAAGCTACATATACTCTATTGTATACTTTGATTTCTAGATTGCTTATATCTAATACAATGTAAATATTGCTTATAATACCTAATACAAACAAGTGTTATACTCTTTTTAATTCTTATTTTTTATTATTGCACTATTTTATATTTTATTATTGCACTATTTTGTATTTTATATTTTATATTTTTATATTATAATATTATAATATATATTATAAAATATATATTATAATATATATTTTATATTTATATAAAATATATTTTATATTTTATATTTCCATTCATAGTTACTTGATACACAGATACAGAGCCTGGGAATACAGAGAATGGTTTGTATTCCCCAATTATTCTACAATGCCGGAACACCTATAGTGATATTTTTCCTTCTTCCTGCTGTTAGTATTTTCCTAAATAATTTGCTAGCAGTTTGTAATTCTCTCCATTGTTTTTATGTTTTATAATCTGTGAATATCCAAACTTTATCATCTTTTCCTTCTATTTGCTTTGGGTTTAATTTAGTATTATTTTTATTGCTTCTTAAGTAGGAGACTTAGACCACAGACTACACTATTCTCCTTTCCTAATATAAACATGTACAGCCATACAGCACTACTTCAGTAATTTAGTACCTGCATCCCTCAAATTCTGATATGTCATGTTTCTAGTATTATTCAGTTCAAAACATTTTAAGTTTCTTGTGACTTCTTCATTCACGAGTTATGTGGAAATGTGTGATTTAAAATCTACATATTTCAGACCCACATATTTACCGTTTAACATTTCTTTTTTCCTTTATGTAAATCTCAGTTTTTACCCAGTATGATTTTCCTTCAGCCTGAAGATCTTTTAAAATTTCTTTAGTGCATGTATACTGACAACTTCTATTTTTACTTATCTGGAAATATCATTTTGTGTCTGTTTTTTAGAATATTTCACTGGGCAGAGAATTTTAGACTGATTTTTTTCCCCAC